ACGAAATCGGCGATCGTTCTATTCTAATGCACGCCCACATGTCGCCCGCATAGTGCAGACGTTCCTTCAACAGAACAATATTGAGGTTTTAGCCTGGCCAGCACGTTCTCCAGATTTGAACCCCATTGAGCATTTATGGGATAACCTCGGAAGACGAATAAGAACCCGTGCAACATTTCCTGATACACTGCAGGACCTTAAACGGGATCTTCGGGAGGAATGGGCTATCCTCCAGCAAAGGCACACTTCCCGACTGGTGGAAAGTATGCCTCGGCGTCTTCAAGAAGTAGTGAAGGCAAGAGGAGGAAACACGCGCTACTAAACGATGATGTAATTAATTTCTTTTAGAATAATAATGGTTCGTTTTTCAATTTTTTTTTTTCTAATCTTTCTTACCCAATCATATTTTGATTATTAAAGGTAAAAAAGATTATATAATTCCATAAATACTAAGTATTATCTACAAATACCATGTATTATATACAAATACAACTTTTTTTACAAGTGGGTGGAATTTTTTGCCTGTTAGTGTATAATATACAAATACCAAAATACCAATATATATATACATACATAGACTGTTAATACAAAAAAATATATATAAATAATCTCAAATTCACCTAAATATATAATAAAAATTAAAATATTTGCAACACTGCTGTTTTATTTTCCAAACATTAATTATTTCGTTTGAGCCGGAGAGTGAGCAATAGTAAACAACAGGTTTTCTCGCCTTGGCTAAAGTAAAGTTAATTAAAAGGAATTGTAAAAATGTTTGATCCCACCATTGGCTTTGGAGCTACTCGAAGGACAATCGAAAAGGACAAAGCTTAGGAAGGACATTGGCGACACAGGAACCAACAGAAGAAAAAAGGTTAAGTACTCCACGCTGCGCTTAGCTCATTCTATTATCTGCTGTAATCTGTTTCTCCCTTTAACTTTTCTACTTTTTTGTTTAATGTTATGAAACATTGAAGTTTATTATTATTATAAAGTATGCTTTAGTATAACAATATCTGAATCAGCTAGAGGATAAGACGAACCAACATCTCAAGCACCTATACGATAAGACAAAATTCATAATTCGTGGTACAGACCCCTTTTTATCAAATTATTAAAATCAGGCTGAAACTTCGTAAATAGCTTCATCTCATCGTAACCAACAAATATTTTATTTGTTTCTAAAATTCTCGGATTTGGGGCGTTTTCAATCTGGAGATCGGCAAACTTTGTTTATTTAATTAAGGAGTAAAAACTCGTAAATAACCATTTGCTTTCCACTTGAATCGTAAAAGAACTTGCACGCAAAGTTGGGAAAAAATGTGGCCTTCAAAAATATTGAGCCGTTTGGCGTGATCTACATCCCCAAATTGTCAAAATAACAAGATTATATAGACAAAATGGCCCAATAGTTTTGAAGGCCACCTTATTTTATATATTATTAAAACATATAAAAAATATATTTTGTGATAAAATTATCTTACGAACCAAGTAGGAAACAAATGAGTATTTATGAGTTTTTAGTACCTAATTAATACCTGATTAGTAACCATGTCTCTCACCATTACACTGAGTTAGAGTGGCTCTTCCCCTCCATTCGAAGACAATATTTCCTAGGTAAATTCCTCTATCATATCATCAACAATCATCGTTAATTTTTGGAATTCCCTTCCTATCAAAATTCGGGATTCTTCATCCCTATCTACATTCAAAACGCTCCAATTCCAATTCCTGTCCCAAAAATAGTCACTAACCTTTTATGTAAAATTACATATTATTCATAATAATGTATTTACATATAGCTCATAACTTTAATACTTATTATAGATTCGACTTGAGATTATTATAGATTATTATCGTAAGATAACTAGAGCACAAAGTCGAGAAAAAAGGTGGCCTTCAAAAATATTAAACCGTTTGGCCTATATAACCTCATTGTTTTGACAATTTGGGGGTTTAGGTCACGCCAAACGGCTCAATATTTTTGTAGCCAATCAGATTTGACTTTCTTTTTTTTTTCAACAGAAAAATAGAGTTTATTGCTAAGAAGATTGTAATGTATTTTGTATTTTTTCTAAAAGTGTATATTTATATTTTACCATTGTACATAGTTTTAAGTGTCTTGGCAAGGTTTCAAGAGTTTTGTATATAGATTTTTTAATTTTATTTTGTATATAGTATGTATAACTAATATTTTCTTTACTGATTTATCTTTACCTTTACTTTTTATGTTTGTTTTTATTTGGCCAGGTATAACATTTTAATCTTGTACTTTTTTGTTATTCTGAAGGGACTTCGTCCCAGAATAAAATTATTTTCTATTCTATTCTAATTAAATATACAAAGTTTGCCTTCCTCCAGATTGAAAAAGCCCCAATTCCGACAATTTTCGTAAATAAAATAGTTGTAGGTTACGATATGATGAAGCTATTTACATAGTTTCAGGCGGATGTTAATAATTTGATATAAAGTGGTCTATCATATCACCACGGATTATCATAGAACCCTGATGTTTAAGCAGGATTAAGAAGATCTAATATTGTGTAAAAAAAAGTAGCTGTGTAAATAATAGGAGTGGATCCCTGCTGCTATTATCAGGGTTATAGCCGTTAGTATTCTCATAAAAAAAAATCTTGTTCTGTAAATGAACTTCATTTGTGTAATGAGCCTTTTAAGAAAAAAAAAAACATGATGTTATAGTAGTGTTAGCAATTTGCTAAATTTCACATATTTTTTTATACTCCTTGCGATTTCATAAAATTAAATTTTGTATTATTATATAATTTTTAAGTAAAACCGTTGTTTTATAAAAATGAAATCTAAATATTAAAAAAACAAACCAGTAAAGTGTTTCACATCAGCCACAGCGCAGACAATGGTCAACATTCTGAAATTCATAATTGGTAATTGGTTGACTGTCGTGGATAATGAAGAGAAGAATAGTTGGGGTGGTCAGTCAAAAAGGAAGGCAAAAATAAATTATAATATTTATTTTTTTACATATGCCGACGTTTCGACCTGAAGTTCAGGCCTTCATCAGGGCTAAGAAAATAACCAGATAACAAGGTATGAGAAACATAAGTAATGATGGTAAAAAAGATAATAAAAAATAAAAAAATAAAATAAAAAAAAAATTATTAGAAAAATAAAATAGATAAATATAAAGTAAAATGAAATTGTTAGAATAATGACTAAGAACTAAGAGACAAATAATAAGAACTGTTTTCTCAATTTTCTATCTAACTACTCCATTCTCAATGTTTTAATTTTACTATTTATTTTCATTTCTAATATAACTTCATATTTCTTTTTTATGTTTTATATTTTATTCTAAGATTCCCATTGTAACACTTTTGTCACCCCTTTTTGATTATGCCTACTTCATCATTCCACACTTTGTAACGGTTTTTATTATTTATCTCTTAGTTCTTAGTCATTATTCTAACAATTTCATTTTACTTTATATTTATCTATTTTATTTTTCTAATAATTTTTTTTTATTATCTTTTTTACCATCATTACTTATGTTTCTCATACCTTGTTATCTGGTTATTTTCTTAGCCCTGATGAAGGCCTGAACTTCAGGTCGAAACGTCGGCATATGTAAAAAAATAAATATTATAATTTATTTTTGCCTTCCTTTTTGACTGAACACCCCAACTATTCTTCTCTCCATGGTCAACATTCTGACTTTTCCGATGAGAAATAATTTTGCTCATTGTTGTTTATAGAAGAGTAAATTTTAAATAGAGCCTTTTTACAGAATGACTAATTGCAATTACAAAATTTTTGAGTAATGTCATTGTTGTGATTTTTCTAGGTGAAAAATTTATAATATCTGTACAGAGAGTGAGAAAGGTGATTGCAGTGTTGAAATATAGAACTGTGTATAAAGGTGTAGAAATGTCACTAAAATTAATAATCAAAAATGTTGGAATTGAAGTCATTCTGTCAACTGAAAGGTTCAATTGATAGCTTATCACTTATATTTAAACTTCAGGATTGCCATAGAGAACAATTTTTATAAAATTCTTGCACTGGTAAGCAGGACCCCACACGAGGGGCAGGATGTTGGGATTCAAAATTTAAAAACCTAACCAAGGATAGAACATAAAAGAACATATAAGAAAACCTGGAGACCATATCTTTGTTCAAATTGTCCGATTTTAACATTTTTTTTTTAAAGGAAATTTCGTAAAGTTTTAAAAAACCATACAATATCTACAAAAAAGTATAAACTTTTCGAGTTATTCAGAATTTAATTTTACTATTCCTCGTAACTTTTTTCCAGCTTCTTTTCGTTTAATTTAAAGGGCGTTGAGAAAATGACTTTAGCGAAGTTTCATTGAAATCTGTACATTCTTTTAGGAGCTACAGTCTATAGCAACGCAGGTTTTTCGGCCACCATTTTGAAAGCAAAAGGCGGATAGTAATGTCGATGAAGGAGGACCATCCTCGGGTGACCTCTGATTTTATATTAAAATTTGGAAAAAAACGGTCCATTAGTAGTCGGAGAAATTGCGCGGACGGCGGACGGCGGACGGACAAAAAAATTTGTATTCGTTTTTCGAATTCTACGCATACTGAAACGTGAAACCTCAAATTTTGAGAGGGGGTTAAGTTTTTGAATTTTTTGGTCGATCACAATGATTGATTATTGAAAATAATAATAAATAAAAAAAAAAAGATACTAACTACATACATGAAATGTTGTTTAAGTGATTTTTGAAGTCTTATTAAATGCAATTACACGAACAATAATACTTTCAGATATAATTTTTTAATATTTTTTTCCATAAAACATGGTTGTATTTTAACATTTTGGGGAAGGTTAGGTTTCAGCCCGAAAGCCTTCCCCTCGTTGACCCGCCTTTAGATAACAGTATAGGTACTTACATTGAACTGTCTTCAAATTATATTGATTGACTACTTGATTTGTCTTACTTAAATTGTTGAGTACTACATCTGGTCTGCCATGGCAGCCAGTAGGATTGGCTAAAAATAATATTGTAATTTGCAGGCAAAGAGATGATCGATTACATCGCCGAGTACTTGGAGAACATCCGGTCGAGGAGAGTGTTCCCGGAAGTGAAGCCGGGATACCTGAGATCCGCGGTGCCTGATTCGGCCCCTCTCGAGCCCGAGCCGTGGGACAACATCATGGCGGACGTCGAGAGCATCATCATGCCTGGGGTAAGTTGGATTATCGCAGAAGAATTATAACCATGCATACTGAACACGCATCATAATGACCACTATTAAAAAAACAAAACAGATATTTTCATCTTTTACATAATTATATAACAAATTCACTCATCTTTTGTTGAATAGAATAAATTGTAACTCAATATATGAGAAAGGGGAGCCTCTAAAAGCAAAATAACATCAACAAGTCATTTTTTACTTTCACTTACTTATATATGTAATATATAGTAAGGGTAAGTATTGCGATCGAGAAAATTTTTGAATCTGAGTTTTCAACGGAAATACACGTTTTGGGGTACCCTGAGTCGAAATAACCAAGTCCCGAAAAATGGTCTCTGTGTTTGCATGTTAGCAGTCTAGCTCAAAAACTAAAAGTCCTACGAAACTAATATTACGTACTTAAGATAGTTTTAGATAGATTTGCCTTAGATGAGACGGCAACTTTTTCCTTAAAATAGTCTTACCGGAAGTATCACTTTATATCAACGCTGAAACACATTTTTTACTTTCCTACCTATACTAGGCAATCGGGTCAAATTTCCGACATGCGGTTTTCGACGGATCTATACGTTTCAGAGCCCAGAGTCCGAACACGCGTAAAGCGTTTGAAAGCTAATGAAATTCCCTACAAAGCCATATAAAAATCGTTAATTTTGGACTACTATTAACGAAGTTACAGCTATTCAATTTCCAATGTAAGATTACGGTTTCATATCCTGGTGTCAGAAAGGAGTGAATGAGAGAATAAAGATGACTAAGTTAAAGTAAGAAAATCTGTTGCCCGCATCACACAACCTTCACTATTTCCTCTACTTTCAACATAAATTATTGTTTGTCAATACTAAGCTATGGCAAAAAGTTTTTGATCAGCAATATTAGGAAGTATTGAAATTTTTACACTGATCTATCTTAAGCCGGTTTACATTGCTTTAGTTTATCAAATAAATCGTACTCAAATATTATGTTTGATCAATTTTCAGGAAAATGTATCAAGTTCAATTCTTTTTTGTTTCTTCGTGAACATATGTAAAGATATAAAAATTTTTTGAAATAGGTAGGAAAGTCGTGTGAGTGGACACACCAGATTTTTTTATTACTAGTGTTATTAAAACACTATATAAAATATCAAGTTCGCATTTTTGTAGGTAAAAATTTTATTCACGATTTCCGTAGTAAAAATTAAACGCAATACATGGTCAATAAAAGGTTTTAAACCTAGTTTAATTGCAGGACTGCATAATTTCTGCCATCCCACTTTTATTGCGATGTGTCTCGTCGCTAGTTTTGACTTTACCATAGTTTTGGAAGACAATGAAAAGTAATTTTTTTACATAAATAATTTGTAGGTTCATACTCCTCCTCAATTTCATCATATTCAATTCTAGGACGACGACTTTGACGCCTGAAGAACAATATTCCTTCTTCGCCACTCAATCATTGGTGAAGAGTTGATGAAGCTGATCTGGGAGTATTTTGGTTAGAAGGTTAACGACCAACGAAGTAGAAGTAATAACGAGCTGAATTAAAAAATAGCCCAGAAGGAAAATCTATCATTTTGAACGCTATGAAAACTGTAGCGCAAACGGGACAGCCGTCAATGTGACCGCCATGGTTACAAAAAAAACGTGGCTTGTCGAAAAATAGCTATCGATATCCGCTCTCTCATGTTACGTGGTCGCTTGTAATAACGAGACTGAAGATGTCACAGGAAGACAGCTCGCCTTAAGGAGGTTCACGTAATTTGATGGCGTATTTAGGATCATAGGTGTCATAATGGCCGATGTTCCGGTCAGGGAGTTAATTAACTATCACCAACCAAATTCGAAATAGTTCGCCCAGGGTAAGGTATATTATCGTGATGTAATATTATGTTATAATGATTAACTACTTGGAAAGAAACCCCAAATAATCCTGTACCATTATTAAAAAACCTGTACCATTAACAACCCACATGAAGAGTCTTGGATTCAGTACAATTGAGGAAGTACTTTTACAAGACCAACGGTAGTGTGGGTAAGTAATAGAGCCGAGATCACGCTCAACTGCCAAGTTTTCCCCCCTTAATTAATTATTTAATTAAGGGTACCCACGTTATACAGACTTTGTGTGCCCCAGAAGGGTTCTCCCGGCTCCAAGGCTTCGATCCACGGCTAAGGGAAAATTACTAGCCCCCTATTTACATGGAGGAAAAATGAAATATAAACACTAGATTTTTAGAGTTCTAAAAGATCCGACTGTCTCTATTTTCCATAATTTTTTTCTAGAAATTCTAAGAAATCCTTTTGTTTAATCCAATCAAAATAACGTTATATAAGCACTCTGAATCATCGATAGTTTCACTGATATCAGCCAAAAATCGAAAATAGTAAACTTTTCGAATCGTAAATTCAATTTTTCGACTTGAAATCCACGGGTAACTGACTATTATCTCATGTCTTAAGACTATAAATATTACAAATTGAAAGCGTTGGTAGCTCTATATATCTGTAAGCCCTCTCTATATATACGCTTACAACCTTTGTAGTGTCTCTATCTCCACATGCCATTAGTGTTGCCCAAAATCAGTCTTGGTCTTACACTTTGCAAGACCAAGGCCACCTAGCTGTTGCAAGACCAAGACCAGGGAATGATAAAAAAACCGATTTTTCAAATAAAAATTAAGGCAAAATAGTTATTAATACTCGACAGTCTTAGCTACTATATATTAATAATTGGTATAACCAATATACTTTTGCACTTAACTCCTCTAATTTAGCATTCAAGCTTAGTTACGTTTCTCCTATCCTTATCCGTACATATATTATTACAGTAAGGCTCGAAATCGGTTTTGTACCCAATATAAGCTCCTGTCATGCTCGAATACCACGAATGGGGGACCGTTGGATTCAGAATTTCACGGGGGGTTAGCGAATCGTATTCTCCACTTTTGTTTTTCTTTCTAAAATAAATAAAGTCGATACAAACATTTTGCTAGGCTTCGATACTGGAACGGTGGTAGGTCTGTAGATCGATACGGGACAAGTTGGATCTTAAAGATTTTGATGCGTACAGCAAGACCCGAATAGTTCCTTCGGAACTATCGGATCCTGCGTTTTTAAGCCGAAAAACGTACTATTTTCGAGATAACGCAAGGCATAGGGTTCGCATCCACACAACCTTACATTAATTGTAGTACTGTCGTCATGCAATACATGTCTCATTTCGTCGACTTGAGGTCTCTATGATCGAGAGAGGGGGAGTATATTATTCATCGATGGTGTTTTTGATCGGCAAGCCATATCATCGTTAATTTTTCACCAAATCTCAAAATTGAACCAACAATTTCGAAGCCTTCCTTCTCCTTCAGGCTGGCAAAATAGTCCAATCACCCAGAAAATTCAGGTAAACAAGTTATGAAAGAAAATAAACTTTATTTGCGAATAACTGAAAAATTACACACTTTTCTCTTTGTTATTCCCATGATTATATAAAAGATTACTAAATTCCCTACAAAAGGAAAAAAAATCATCGAAATCGGACAATTTTTAGCAAATATACAGCTTACTGAAATTTGTATACATGTTGGTTCCAAACAAAAATGAAGATTTAAATTAATTTTTGTTTGCTTTGTGGATTATATTTATCGATAAAGTAACATTTGATGTCTTGATCATTTGATAAAATGCATTTTCTTATTTTTCTATTAATTTGGTATTTGATAACAATATGCTCTGCGAATTTTTCGCACGGGTCTACTAGTCTAAAAAATTACTGTAATATCTATATAGTGATAAGCTAATAAGTAACTGCAAGACTGTTGCGTGACTCTTTGCAAGACCAAGACTCGTCTCGGTCTCGCATTTGGGCAATACTAGCTGCCATTTTGTATTGCAGCGCCTATTTGTAGGTAGACGTGCATTGCTCTCATCAGACCTCTGGATATGATCAATTTAGAAGGACAAATCTTGAACGAATGAAACGTTATACCTTTTTTGTCACGCGATCCCAGATTTACACTCATACCTCCTCGCCTTCTTGCCTAGAAAGTGTTGTCAAGTTACGAGAGTCATACTCCGTAGCGCCCCCCCCCCTCGCCCACACTGTGGTATCGTTCCCTTTATTTTATGTTGATAAAGAATAATACAAATTGAACTACAAGTAGCTTCCACCAGGTTAAATCATCATGTTTAGTAACAGATAGAGAGGTGAAGAAGGCTGGTTCATGCGGCAAAAGATTTATAAGGACTGTAACGCCAAAAGAAAAAAAAAAAACCAAAGGCACCGAAGACCCGGGGTGATAGATTCCCCTTCGTCCTATGCCCCCCACTTTCTAAAAGTTAAATTGATCGCAAAAGCTAACTAGTTAATTAGTTTTATGCAATGATTAATTGAGCGACTCCGCCATCTTAAAGCCAAATATTGTTCCCTGATATAGCCCGCCAACTCCTCGAAGGTGGTCAATATAAAGTAACGAAAAGTATTCTAAAATAATGCAACTTTTGAACCCGAGTTTTCAACGAGAATTCATCTTTAAATAACTAAATCCTCTTTGTATCCATGTGTATATGTTTATGTTGTGCTTTGGTGAGTGTATTTGTCTGAATATTTTATCGATTTTCTCTTATAAGTCACATTACAATGCAGAGAGGAAAATAAAGCAAGACAAACTTCATAAGCTATGACAGACCTAGGTAATGTCTGTAATCGATAAAAATAGTTAAATAAGAAATGACATATACAAGTTTTTCGTCAATTGGTTTAAAAAACAAAATAAAATATTCGATATATTGTATGAACCATCTTAAAGTAACGAATGTGAAAAATCACATATTTCAATTTAGTTTGTTTACCATAGTACTTCAAGCTCACCTTCAGGCAAAATGTTAAGCCTAAACGGCATGCATTTTTTGATATAATGTTTGACTCTGTAATTCGACTATATTCGTTTTCAAAAATAATAGTCCGTAGTACAAACCCCTTAACATTAACATCCCCTGAAACTTCGTGACTAGCTTCATCTCATCTTAACTTACAACTATTTTATTTACAAAAACTTTTGGAATTGGGTCGTTTTCAATCTGGAGGTGGGTAAACTTTGTCTATTTAATTAGGTACTAAAAACTATTATATACCCATTTGTTTTCCACTTAGATCCTAAGATAATTTGATTACAAAATCGAAAAAAAAGGTGGCCTACAAGAATTTGGGTCGTTTGGACTATACAACCTCGTTATTTACACATTATGGGGGTGTAGGTCACGTCAAACGGCTCAATATTTCTGAAGGCCACCTTTTTTCTCGAGTTTTTGCTCATATTATCTCACGATTTAAATGGAAATCAAATGGGTATTTACGAGTTTTCAGTAACTAATTAAATAGACAGCGTTTGACGATCTCCAGATTGAAAATGCCCTAATTCCGAGGATTTTAGGTAATAAAATAGTTTTTTTTTTACGAATTTATAGCTTTGTGAGATGCGTACCAACATTTTACAGTAACGAATAATCATAATGGAATGTTTACATTGGAAAAATTCACATTCGTTACTTCAACTACAACGATACGCGCGGTCACCATTCGATCGGACCTAACAAATTTAATCAGTTAGAATCATAGTTCAGAATCGTCAAAATTGAGTTAAGGTCTGTTTGAATTTAAATAAGGGATCATATTCTGAAAACCGTTTATTTCATTTTGAATATTTTGTTTTTTGACAGGTGACACATTGGCAAAGTCCACACATGCACGCATATTTCCCCGCGTTGAATTCATATCCTTCGATGCTGGGAGACATGTTGGCAGATGCCATCAACTGTCTAGGATTTACTTGGGTAAGGTAAACAATTATTTGGTAATTAAATGTATTCAAAACTTGTTTTCCAAAAAATGTATTTATTTTTCAGGCTTCGAGTCCAGCTTGTACTGAATTGGAAACAGTTGTAACAGACTGGGTTGGAAAGATGATAGGATTGCCGGCAGCCTTCTTGCATTCAGGTTCCAGGGGCAAAGGAGGAGGTGTCATTCAGGTTAAGCGATCTTATGTTATTTGTTAATTACATCATATGTAGTGACATAAGGCACAGGTAAGTAGGGAGAGAGGTGACACAGGATTCTGGGGAAAAGGCCAAAGCACAGGATTGGAGGGAGAGAGGTGTCACAGAACCAGAAGAACAGGGGTAAGGCATAGAATTGTAGAGTGAGGTAAGGTACAGGATTCTAAACTGGGGTTGAAGCGCAGGATTGTTAGGAGTTGGGTGTCAGAGGATCGTAGGAATTGGGTTAAAACACAGGAATGTAGGGAGATAGGTGTCACAGAACCGGTGGGAGAGGCAGGTAGTAAGGCATAGAATTGTAGAGTGGGTAAGGCACCGGATCGCAAAGTTGGGCAAGACACAGAATAATAAAGTGAGGCAAGGCTCAGGATTGCTAAATGGGGTTAAAGCACAGGATTGTTAGGAGTGGGGTGTCACAGGATCGTAAAGTGGGATAAGGCACAGGATTATAAAGTGGGGTAAGGCACAGTATCGTAAAGTGGGACATGGTACAAGATTGTAGAGTGGGATAAGGCACAGAATCGAAAAGTGGGACATGGTACAAGATTGTAGAGTGGGATAAGGCACAGGATCGTAAAGTTGGGTAAGGCACAGGATCGTAAAGTGGAGAAAAGCACCGGATCTTTGTGTTTGTGGTGAAGCACAGAATTTTTTAACACCCTAAGATTTTTATAAGTATCGTAAATAGAGGCAAAAATTGGTTTTATCGGATTATAACCATTGGCTTGGGTTGAACTTTTTTATTTATTTATTAATGTTATATAGCTAAGGCATGTTGACTATTTACGGAACCGATTCCAAGATGTTTAAAATGAGCTTGTAACAAGATCAAGAGGCTAAGTAATATCGTTTTTCCTTTGAGAATGTGTCTACAAAAAAAATTTAGGAATCGTTTACAGTTCGAGTCGATCAATTCAAAGTTTTAGGTTGTCATCATTTCCCCAAGCACATTTATATGTATTCTGTTATTTCTTTTCAGATTTTTTCTTTGAGTAACGAAGGGCACAATTTCCTTATACGTCACATCTCAATTCATGATGCAATGTTGGAATCCAATAATGAGAACTTTATTTTTCAATTTTAACTTTTCAATCAATGTTTGTTTTTATTCAAATTAAAACTGTTAATAATAATATCAATTGGGTAACATAAATACGTCAATACTAACGTACACATTGTCAATACTAGCGTAGACATTGTCAATACTCAAATAACTAACTCTAGTTGGTAAAGTTTCCGGTAAACACGAAGATACGGAAACTGCTAAACTAACCGGAAGGTACTGATATTGCTAAGGCTAGTTCCCATTTCCTTATACCAGTTTAAAATATAAAAGTATATATATACACTTTCGATACTACACTGTGCCTTATTCCACTGTAAACCATAAACATATATCCGATGTCCTACTGTTTCTTATACCAACATGAAGTACAAAAACATACATGTATACATTTTTATTGTCAGTTTAAAATTACTACAATCATCATAAAACATAATATTTTTTGTGATCTACATGTAATTGTAAAGAAACGTAAGTCTCACGTCCTTTATTAGATATAGATTTTTTTTTTAAATCATGTCTCTCTGAAAAATTGTGTTTGGCATTTAGAAAAACCTCACATATTTCGTAAGACTCTCTATTTATGTATAATGATATAATGATAATGATACACTATGTACCTATATTGATAACCTCATGAATTTCACGGCTGTTATCACAATATTGCTTCAATTTGAAAAAGCAGAAACTATTTCCATTTTAGCCTGAAGAGTAAAATATTCTCTACTAATTGGTACTGGCCTTCTAAACTTAATACCTATTAAGTTATAATCATAACGCCATTTATAAAACATAATAAGTAATTTATTTATCTCTCATGAGTTCCGCGTTGTTTTCAGATAAAATATTATACTCTGTGATTCTTAGTCTAGTTTTTAAATTAAAGGTCTAGTTACTGGGCTTTCGTCTAATGTTTTATCATTATTATTTTTCTTTTGTAAATAAGGATCTAGAAGAGAAATATGTAAATATCAATTTAATAACCTTTAAAACACACCTGACGCTGTCAGTAAAATTCGTCATACATATTTCGCTACTGCACTAAACAAACTTAGAGGAACTTTAGTCCGTGGTACAGACCCCTTTTTGTCAAATTATTAACATCTGGCAGAAACTTCGTAAATAGCTTCATCTCATCCTAACCTAAAATATTTTATTTTACGAATATTCTCTGATTTGGGACATTTTCCATCTGTGCATCGGCAAACTTTGTCTATTTAATTTGGTACTAAAAACTAGTAAGTACTCATTTGCTTTCCACTTTAATCGTAAGATAACTTGAGCACAAAGCCAAGAAAAAGGGTGGCCTTCAAAAATATTAAACCGTTTGGCCTATATAGCCTCATTATTTTGACAATTTGGGGGTGCAGGTCACGCCAAGTGGCTCAATATTTTTGTAGCCAATCAGATTTGATTTTCTTTTTTTTTTTCAACAGAGATACAGAGTTTACTGCTAAGAAGAATGTGTTGTATTTATTTATTTTTTTCTAAAAGTGTATATTTATATTTTACCACTGTACATAGTTTTAAGTGTCTTGGCATGGTTTCTAGTATTTTGTATATAGATTTTTTTTTTTTATTTAGTATGTTTAACTAATATTTTCTTTACTTATTTCTCTTTATTTTTACTTTTTTTTTTATTTATGTTTTTTTTATTTAGGCCAGGCATAATATATTAATTTTGTACTTTTTTGTTATTCTAAAGGGGCTTTGTCCCAGAATACAATTATATTATATTATATTCTAAAATGACAAAAAAAATTATCCTCTGTACGAAAATTTCCACTCGCCTTTTTCAAATAACAGATTTATTCTTGTATCGGTCTGCCTGGGGACAAAATCATGTGGCGGTCATTCCACTTACAGCTGTTAATCTAATTTTTCACTGTTTAATACCCAGATGTAATATTTAAAACGACCTAAACCATGGACTCGACAACCCTCTTCCCTTCCTTCCATAGGCCGGCTCTCTGCCATGCGATAATATGTAGTATGTCTTTAAATAAACCCTGATGTTATTTTAAATCATATGGGTGATTCTCATTTTAGAGGCAATTTTTAGTCCATTATAACTTTTTAGTGATTAGTTAAGGCTAACTTAGTTTTTTTTTTTTTCCACTGCTATACGGTGAAGAAGTATTTCTTCACAATGAAATATTAAAAAGTAAAATATTAAAGAATAGTGTGATTTTATAATTACTTAAGCTACTAAAATGCCATTAAAACGTATTGTCACACTCTCGGATTTCTAGTAAACAATTATTTTTTTCTTTCGGAATTTATGTAAAATGACATAGGTTCAAAAAGGCATTTTAACTTATATATTTTTCTTTAACTTTTGTTAATAGTATGTTTATGTATTTTCAAACATTGTCCCGTCACTTTTATGTCATTACCAACCAAAAAACATCAGATATTTAAGCGTTGAAAAGAGGGAAATTTATTCAGAATGTAGTAGTAGCCATGGAGTTAAAGGACAGCTACCAGCGGATAGACCAACCAGTTGGGAGCATCCCTCTACACAGCCGTTTCTTATACCTTGAGCACGTACCTTTATTGTTGTCTTCACCACCGGGTATATATATATATATATATATATATATATATATATATATATACATATATATATATATATATATATTATCTAGCTACCTGTTCAAATTATTTCATTTATTATAATATTTTTTTTTTTTTTTTTTTTATTAAAACACTTTATTCAGAAATATTACAATTTGTCACAGTTAAGGACACTTATAATAGAGTTCAGAGATTGCATTCATACCGTATATACAAAAATATAAATAAATAAAGTAATAACAAAAGAATAGGAAGAAAGAACAAAAGAGTAAAGAAAAAGAAAATATATATATATATACACATAAGTAAATAAAAATAGAAATGAAAGTAAAACAAACACCTTATATAAAACATACATTATTTACAATTTGCCAGGTGATCTCCGAACCAATCCTGTCCCCTCCACATGTGGAGGGAAAAGGGAGGCTTAGGAGATCCCTACGCTTCTCCCTCAGCCACTTCACTGGTATTTTAAACCAGCGGAGGATGAGTAAGAGCGCTACAGCCACAGACACTCATGACTTGAGTGGAGAATCTGGCCATTGCTAGAACTCCAAAATATCCATATTTACAAAAGGTCTCGTGGCCACTGCCGCTTTAACCTATTATAATATTAATGATGTAGAGATGGTTGACCGTTGATATAATATGAGAAGGAGTTAATCGGGGGGTGCGGTCAAATAAATACTAAATTAAACAAATAGTAATTATTTACTATGGCTATATTAATTTTCAATCTATTTATTCGTTAACATTCATTTTCTTTATCTGTTAACCCACAGTCATCTAAAATGTAATCTCTATTAGTTTGTGATAAACTTATTCCTTATCTTTTATCGCAATCTGTTTACTTTTAACTTACATGCTATATTCTCCTTATTTTATTTTTATTCATACTTATTTTTCATTTATTTGTATCTTCTACATATATAATACTTAATATTTAACTACATTGTCACCCACTATATCTCTGATATCATCTTTTATTTCTGTATCTGACAACTTCTTCTTATTTTATATCTACTCATATTTATTTTTTATTTTCAACATGTTTTGTATCTTTTGTAGCCCTGCAAAGTGGGTCGAAACGTCGGCAAAAATTAAAATAATTATTGATGTAGAGATGGTTGACCGTTGATATGATATGAGAAGGAATAAGTCGAGGGTGCGGTAAAAAAAAATAAAAAAAATTAAAATATATAAATAATTTTAATTTTTGCCGACGTTTCGACCCACTTTGCAGGTCGTCTTCAGGGCGTTGGATGTGGCACTGCGGGAGGCGGTTGAAACACTTCGGGTGTTTCAACCGCCTCCCGCAGTGCCACATCCAACGCCCTGAAGACGACCTGCAAAGTGGGTCGAAACGTCGGCAAAAATTAAAATTATTTATATATTTTAATTTTTTTTATTTTTTTTTACCGCACCCTCGACTTATTCCTTCTCATAAAATAATTATTATATTTTAATTTAGTATTTATTTGACCGCACCTCCTCTCCCCCCGATTAACACCTCATATTATAATATTAGTTTCACAGTGGTTTTGCCCGAAAAAATACTTGAAAATGTCATTACCAAGTTGAAAACTCGTTTCATTCCCACAACCGAATGATTAGCTTTACTTTAATTACTGAGCAAAAAGCACTTTTGATCTTGGCCATTTGCACAGATAAAGCTGAGCGGCAATAGAAGATGTAGGTATTTAGAAAATTGTATTTAAATGCCACCAAAATTATTAAAATGTCTCATAATCTGAAAATTGCCCCAGAATCAACTTAGTTCGAAAAACTTTTTATCTTTATTGACTATAGTTAGTGTTCATGTCCATTCATCTACAGCTCTTACTGATCCTCTTTCTTGAACGATCGTCAGAAGTCGATAAAAGACATTACAAAATTGGTTTAATGTTCAACCAATCATTAGATGATCAATGAGACAGTCTTAGCCTGGAAAAAAAACCCTGGTATCTGTAATTGTGCCTGTATCCATAGCTGTGCCTGTGTCTGTGCCTGTATTATATGAAGAAGAAATTGGGACGTAACCTAATAAATACAAACAGGATTAGGAGAGACATCGAGGCTCCTCGACACACCAGCCAGCAGATAACATATCCCTGTCTCTGGTCTTCTGTCCAAAATACACATCTAAAATTATTATATTTAGTTTTTAATTAAAAATATTTTTTTCTTAACTTTCATGCCCATATTAAAGGGGCCCAAACCTTATAAAAAAATTGTCGTTAAAAAATCTAACTAATAAACTGGTTAAATTATTTTTTTTAGTTTGATTTTTCACTCGTGAGTAATGATAAAAAATATGAAATTATTAATAGAAGAACATTAATGTTAATAATGACTGCTACACAAAAAACATATAGAGGCAGAACAAAAACAGTACATCTCACATCAAAAATTCCAAAAAGACTAATCATCATTCCAAAAAGTGGTCTTCGCTCCAAAACAATTCAAGTTGGAAAAAAAGGATTTTCGCTGCTTCTTTTAGGCGTAAAACATTTAGGTTATCAGCGCCTTATCCATAAAAGTATTATTATTAAAATATTTATCTAGTAGGTTTAATGGAGAAGAAGAAATAAAATGAAATATTTAAAAAAAAATAAAATATATAAATAATACTTAATAGTTGACCGTTGTATTATTAAGGAAGGAGATGTTCAGATCTGGCGGTCATAAATAGACTAAATAGTGGCAAAACTATTTTATTGAAAACCAACGTTTCAACCCGACTTTGCAGATCTTCTTCAGGGCTAGAACGGACAAGATACAAAAAGATATAGAGGATTGTGGAAGTTACATCATATTTAGATAAAAAATTATAAATAATGTGAATAAACTTATTAAAATTATAAACAGTAAATAAATTACAATATTAAGAACAATATTGCATATTTAATAGTTGGCCGTTGCATTATAATGGAAAGAGATGGTCCGGGGTGGCGGTCATAAATAGGCTAAATAGTGGTAAAGATATTTTATTGAAAGAAGAGGTTTCGACCCGACTTTGCAGGTCTTCTTCAGGGAGGTGTGTTCAGCTAGGAGTTTTACTTAGAACTGGAAGTAACGTAGAAATGTTACATCCTCAGAATACAAAATTAATTTTTGAAAGCGACCTGAAATGAAGAATATATATATTTTTTGAATATTTAATAGTTGACCGTTGCATTATAAAGGAAGCAGATGCTCCTGGATGGCGGTCATAAATAGGCTGAATGGCGGCAAAACTGTTTTATTAAAAGCCAACGTTTCGACCAGACTTCGTTGGCTGAAGTGAACTCAGTTCTAAGTGAAACTCCTAGCTGAACACACCTCCCTGAAGAAGACCTGCAAAGTCAGGTCGAAACGTCGGCTTTCAATAAAATAGTTTTACCACTATTTAGCCTATTTATGACCGCCACCCCGGACCATCTCCTTCCTTCATAAAGAACAATAAGTTGTATTAACAGAGTAAGTTAAGTAACAAGATCCTAAACTGAAGTAAATAGATGGTAACAATTGTTTTAGTATAATATATAATATAATATATGCAATTGTGAATATATTTCTACAGATCTACAGGAGAGATAGGAAGAAAAGGAAAAAGGATATAACATGAAATAATGGACATAAAGGGATGTGGAGAAATAAAATCGTTAAAATAATAAAGGTTTTGCCACTATTTAGTCTATTTAAGACCGCCACCACGGACCATCTCAATCCTTAAAATATATAAAGGAAAAAAATTTAAAGATAAGAAAAAGATAAATAGAAATTATTATTACAACTCTTTCATTAAATTCCCCCTTATTAAAAATGCTATTATTTTGTCATATCTATTGCTGTCGTTTCCCAACGCTATTGATATATTTTGTGATAAAATAATAATAATAAAAGGCTTAGCGAACCCGAAGGTTCGATGCCAACACCACAAATCGCTTATTACACACCTCCCTCCACCGTTCGCCGTCCAAACCCAGTCCCTTCAGATCGGCTTTAATGCAATCTTCCCACCTTCGCTTCGGTCTACCCCTCGGACGCTTACCATTCTGTACAGCAAATATTAACCTTTTAGAAATTCTCTCGTTACCAAGCCCAACAATTTTACAGGCCCATTTGATACGGCGGGATGAAATCACCTCAATTATATTACTCGGATATAGTTCACGCAAATCGCCGTTGTGTAAGCGTCTGAATTCTCCGGTTAATTCACCCTTCTTCGGTCCGAATATTCTACGCAATACTCTATTTTAAAAAACCTTAAATCGTTGCTCATCCCTTAATGTAAGCGGCCACGTTTCGCAACCATAAAGAACTGTAGGTAAAACAATGGTTTTATAGACTCTAATTTTTAAGTTGCGGGAAAAGAGGCGCGAGCTAAGTAGTTTTGTCACAGAAAAATAACAAGCGTTTCCCGCCTTCAGTCTAATCTTAATCTCTTCTTCAATTTAACAGTAATTATATTTTGTGATACCTGTAAATAAAAAAAAAAAACTTAAATTAAAGATGGAATATTTCTCTGATATTATTCTGTACCATCGCTTTACTATTATTATTTTTTTAGAAATTTGAAGTGAGGTGTACTGTCTACAATTGTGTGATTTTTCTCTTCACTCTGTCCACTTCCTCCCCCCACTCGCCCTATAACATCTAAATTGATCCACAGGTGGCTTGAGAGACATGAGATTTTTATTTAGAATCTTCCAATAACATTTCCACGCTACATTTTGTCTGTTTTTATACTTTTGCTTTCAGAAATTAAAACTAATCTTTCTTTGTTATTTTTTTTAATTATTATTAATGAACGGCTTTGATCAAAGAGCGGTCGATTGCAGACGACGTCGAGCGAAGCCACCCTGGTCGCACTCCTGGCAGGGCGGACGGAGGCGATCAAGAAGTACAAGACCAACGGCTCGGACGTGGAAGACGCTGAGGTGAGCAGCCGCCTGGTCGCCTACTGCTCCGATCAGGTACCAGTACTGCCAATATCCTAGGCTTCTTATATCTACAGGATACCTAACCTTGCATAAAATAATAATAATTTGATTTGTATCTCTTTTAAGGCACACTCGTCGGTCGAAAAAGCGGGGATCATTGGCCTGATTAAGATGCGGTACTTGGAGAGCGACGTCTTCTTGTCTCTTGGCGGCGGCGAACTGAAGGAGGCGATAGAAAGAGACCGGAGGCAAGGACTCATCCCCTTTTTCGTAAGTATTTCCATTTCGAGGGATAGCGTATCGCAACATTTTGTCAAAAACAAAAATGTTTACTGACAATTTGAGGCTTGGTATTTTCTAACTACGGTGAAATATATACATAGAAGACGCTACACGGTCATTCGGAATTGCTTTCCGAGGCACTAATGACGTTCCGAATTATCGTGTAAGGTAGTGAATGAAGTACTGATGGTGGTGCGCTGCGGATTTCCGAACATCCGGAAATCAAAGGTTCATTCACGAGAAGTGGAGGGGGGGCTGAGGTGAAAGTAGTGGGGAGACTAACCATACTATAGGTTAGGTAACCTAGACCTCACAACCATTATAAATTTCTGATTTTAATTATAAGTAAATAGTTAAATAATTTTTCATATCCCTTGTTTATACTTTTAAACCATCTTCAAATATTTCTTTTAAATAGTCAAGTGGGCAACAAATTTTTAAAAAAATGTGGAAACTTCACAATTTACTTTAGGAAAAAAAAACTTAAACGTTGTTGTATATATGCCAGTTCTTTTCCCATTTTCCTCAACAAATTTATTATTTTCGCAATTTTTTGTAAGTAGTAGACTTATATTTTACTAACTTCTGTCAAAACGATTTTCTATGAGACTAACCTTACTGCTAGATAGGTTAGTTTACCTTGGTCTCGTTTTTAAGTAAATAATTTCATAAAAGTAAATAGTTGTTTATATCCCTAGTCTATATTTTTATTAACCATTTTCAACTATTTTTTCTTTAAGTAGTCAAGTAGGCAATAAATTGAAAAAAAAAGTGGAAACTTCACAATTTACTAATAGATTTTTTTTTTATTTATTTATTTATATGATATTTACAACTGTATACAAAAAATACATCTGGTAAATTCGTACATGGATATAATATGAAACACATGTTGAGAAACTAACCATTGGTAGCACTCTAATAATATGTCTATATTAGGAGATCACGTGGCCATCTTCTTTTCAGACGCCTCGGAGGGTTATCACGAATTGAAGAGGAAGCAAGGTTAGAAACAAGAGGGTTGGGATGGTTATGAAGTTTATTATGGCAGGATAGAATTCTGGATTGGGCCAAATCTGATACATAAGGAACATTAAGGTCATTATGGATAATTTTATTTGTAACAAAGTAAGGAGCATTGAGGATTTTACGAAGGATTTTGGATTGTAAGGATTGGAAGCGAGCGGAATTTGAAGGTTTGGTGGAGCCCCATAGCTCAACTTACTAATAGAAAAAAATCTTTAACTATTGCGTTTATTTGTCATTAATTTTTCCATTTTTCTTAACAAATTGATTATTTTCGCAATACTTTTCCTAGATTTTTGTATGTAATTGGCTTATATTTTTCTAACTTTGGTCAAAACGATTTTCAGGCAGTAGAAAGTAATTATTATAAATAAATGACCATGTCCAAATAAGCACATCTATGCTGTTTCTTTGTTTACAACTGAGCTAAATTGGTGTCAGCAACGATAAGTAATGATTGAACGTGTAAGGATCTTTATGATCAAAGGATCGCGAGAAATCTTTGCCATTCTTGTTACGTTCATTCATGAATTACCGTGTAGGGTCCGCTTATATGTATGAATTGACTACTTCTTTACAAAAAATAGACATGATAAAAATATTAAAACAGAAGAGGATAGACTAAATGAAAAGAAAAAAGAGACGTGGGCGATGAAGCTGTGTATTTGGAAGAGAGTAATGAAGAGGAAGTGGGTTCTTTATGAAGCAATCAGCTTATTGGTCCGCAATCCTCCTTGGAACAAATTAGGAGGTCCAGCTGTGTCCCCCGAGATAGGCCTCTTCCGCTTCATTACCGGAGGAACCTCTGCTCTAACTAGCTCCCGTCTCCTTCCACTAACACGGCCACTTTTATCTCTTACACTAATTGCGTCGAAGTAACCTCGGCAACGAAATGCCTCTTTAATTCTTGGGAGTGGATGAGGAGGGAAGCTCAAACATTAATCCAAGATGGCTCTAGGATAACCTAACTGGAAACATTTATCAAGCAATAACGAAGGAATGAACGATTACGTTATTCTGGGAGTTGTAATAATAAAAAGGAAATAATAACTGTATGCAATTAACAATGGCTAAGTAGATTCTTAACTTTGTCGATATCGAGAAACTACGCGTAATTGACTAGTAAGACCTCGTAACGTATCTGAGAATTCTTGAACAGTTTTAGAAATACAGAAAGGCTAACGTCTTGATTAATTTCATACTAGACTGAAACGACAAGAAACCGCTCGACGTTTCCGATTACTTCAGCACTTACTAGACAAACCCTCTAAACTTCCAATTTTATTACAAAAGACTCATATACATGACTATAATAAGGCCTATTTGGACTTACAGAGTTGAGCTATGGGGCTCCACTAAACCATCGAATTCCTCTCGTATCCAATCCTTACAATCCAAAATCCTTCGTAAAATCCTCAATGCTCCCTACTTTGTACAAATAAAACCATTCATAATGACCTTAATGTTTCTTTTGTTTCAGATCTGGCCCAATCCAGATACCTATCCTTCCATAATAAACTTCAGAATCATCCCAACCCTCTCGTTTCTAACCTTGCTTCCTCTTCAATTCCTGATAACGCTCCGAGGCGTCTGAAAAGAAGATGGCCACGTGATCTCCTAATGTAGACATATCATTAGAGTGCTACCATTGGGTAGTTACTCAGCAAGTGTTTTTCATGTCATTATATACATTATGTTCAAATTTACTAGACGTATTTATTTAATACAGTTGTAAATGTCTTTAGAAAAATAAAAAAAATTGATTAATTTAACCGTGGAAATTCATTTATAAAATAAAATGAATCTGGAATTTAATTACAATAACTGATTTCGTTTCAGTTCACAAATGCTCTGTCTAGATGGCGCGTGGTCATTTAGATCACACTTGTATATGAAGTAAGAGAAATAGTCGACTCTGTCCGATAATTACGAACGACTCGTTCACACAAAAGTTGAAAGTCAATTGCCGTTATTTAATAAACATTAACGAAAAAAATATTGAAATAAAACATGTGAATAAATCATTCCTTTTAATAAATCACTGATTACTTTTTAAAATATGTGAAATCATTCAATAATTTTTTTTGAGACGACGATGGACTAAAAACAATTTTTATTTTGTGTAAAATTTTAACATAATTATTGTGATAGGAACAAACATAATATTGAATATTTAGATTTTTGTTTTTTTTTTTTATTTTACTAATTATACATACTTGAAAATATCTATAAAAAAAAAAAATACAATTGCATTCTCTGTAAGAAGAGGGAAATATTTATACAGCTAATAGGAAACCTCTAGAGCTATAAAAAAATATAGAAACAATGGTCCAATTTTCTTCGGAATAGTAGGAAATTTAAGTTCTGTGTTTGTTTTTTAAGTGTCATGATTTTTAATCAATAGGAATTGATAACTAACACATTATTTAAAATAATTACTTAATTTACTATTTCATGAAAATAATTCAAGCAATCAGGAGATCTCTTTATTTTACACGTAGATATTAGTATTGCAAACATTTAATTGGTCACTTATAAATAGGGATCAATTTCTATAATAGAGATCTTAATTTTTTTTTTAAAAAAACTCAGTTTTATTATCACTTTAGATGAGAAATATTCAAAAAATCTGTATTTTTAACATTTTTTTTTATTAAATAAAAATTGTATTTATGAATTTATGTTTATTATAATACATCCCAGGTAATGGGAAAAAATAAATTAAAGCTTTGCAATAATTTATTGTAGTGATTTTTGCTGAAAACGCAGGTACTTTAAGGTGACAGAATGTTAAAATATCTCATTTTTTTACACAACTTGAGGTAAATCTCAACTTATTTTGTAATAAACCCACAAATTAATCAATAAGGACTTAAAGCTTACTAAACAAAAAAGTTTTTCTAAAAGTTGAGTATCTATAGTATAGTTGGAGGCTGATAAATAAAAATCGTGAATAATTCATGATTTTTTTTTATACCAGAACATAGCTTAGTTTATTCCCTCAAAAATCCTCTTTAAACGGATTCAACAAGAACAACTCTGCTTTCGTTTGAAGAAAATGTTGTCTAATTTACAATGAATCAATTTTTGATTAATTAATTGTAACTAATTGTTTTATTTATCACTTCCTATTCATAAAAAAACATGAGACTTAAAAAAAACTACTATTCTGCAGAAAATCGGACAATTGTGTATATAAATGTCTTCATAGCTCTAGAGGTCTACCTATTACCTGTTTAAATATTTCCTCCTACTTACGTGATACCCCAGTACATTATTATCTTAAAAAATAAATTACAATTTAAATAAAAGTAACATTTAGGTATCAATAAAATCCTTACATGCTTACTACTAGGCCATATTGTTGCTAGCTAGTCAACTTTTAATAATATAAAAAAAAAATGTATTGCCCGTCAGCATGTAATCTCTCTGGGTCTAGTTTCTTGGTTGTTCTCTTTGTTATAGGAGTAATCTTTTAATTTAATTTTAAAACATAGTTAAACATTAATATTTAAAAAATAAAATGTAGTCATTGTTATTGTGTGTGGATATTGTTAACAATTTTAGATTTTATATTAATTTGATAATTAAAACTATTTTAACTATCAGATTTTGACCGAATAAGATTTTTAATTTATCCATAAGAGTAATTAATATCTGTAATATAGTATAAAAATGAAAAAAATAAGTTGTGATACCATAAGGATTATAATGTTAGTTATATAGTGATAGACCGAATTTATATGAGGGTCTTCCCTTAAAACAAATAAAGATTAAATAAAAAAAATAAATAATATAATTTTTTGATATTATATATACAACATATAAAGTGAAGAAATATTTGTGAGGACTAATATTTTATAGTTATTTGTCTATTGTCTAATTTTTGTCCACAGCTTTGTGCAACATTAGGAACTACAGGAGCTTGTGCATTTGACAACCTGGATCAACTCGGACCAATTTGTAAGCTTTTATTAATTAACATTTATTTATATATTGGCACTACAGTCCAGCAAGAACTAGGGTCTCTCTTTAATAACTACATTTAGAAAATATGAAGTGATATAAATATAAATAAATAAATATCAAGTTTAATAACCAGCTGAAACAAAAATAATAATTTTTACAATCAATTTTAATAATTTAAAATAATTATATAAAATGTAGATTTTTATGGACCTCCAACCTTATATTACTTATCCAAACGACTGAAAACAGTTGTATATCAAGTTTTAGCGTATTTCCAAATTTTTACTTCTAACCAATAAATTAGAAAACTGTTTAAAAGCATTGAAAAATTTATTAAAACATATTACAAAACCCCATGAATAGATAAATAAAAAATGTTTTAAACAATAACCTAAAACATATTTTACCTAGGTAGTTAAAGTTTTTTTTTTCATATTAGAACATATCAATGGTTCATTGCAAAATAAAAACAACAGAAAAATAATGAAATGTAAAAGAAGGTTTTTTGATACTGTTTCTGATTGAACAAGTATTTTTTCACACAACATGATGAATAATCATCAGAAAGGATTATCTTGTTCTTCGTATTTAGGACAAAGAATGTTATCTATCATCTTGTTCTTCATATTCAGTCCAAGAAATGTTATCAGAGAAAGCATGGAAAGTGAATGGTAACAACTAATTTTGTTTCTTCTGTATTTTAGCACTTTTGACACATGATCTTATTTCTGGAAAAATAGGAGGGATAACGCATTCTTTTCTGATGTTCCTTCTCAAATTCACATATTTGAACTCATCGCTTTGAAGTTCATTATTGTAAAACAGTTTCCCAGGCTGCCTTATTCTGATCTGAAACCAAACACATGCAGACAAAGTATGATTTAAATTCATTAGATTTGATTTTTAGACTCATCAGGCAAAAGTTAAGGGATCTCAAATGGCCTGCGGAATTACCCTGCTGCTTGGTATTTTTGTTATATTAAGGCCTATTTCCATAACCAAAACATACAACCGTGGTAAAATATATTTAATGGACTCATATATGACTGAGTGTTTTCTTCTTCACTGGCGCTACACTCAAGGAGTGAGCAAGGCTGCCTGCGACAACAACCACCAGTCATCTCTTTGTTGTGCCGCTCTTCTCCAGTTCCGGATGCCAAGCGTTGACCAAGCAATCAGCACGGAGTAGCATCTGTCTCCTGACCCATCTCTCTCCACATAGCCATTTGTCCAACATCTTCCTGGTCATTCCCACCAAAAATCCTGCACAAGCTGGTTGATTTATCATAGTGACGTAGGTGGCGTCAGCATCATTGTTAAAGGGTATCAGCTCTAAATTAGTGGATTGCCTCCAACCACTATCACTACAGAGCGCTCCTTAAGTTTCTTGTTTTCAGTGTGGGCGGGGTGGCCGAATGGGCTAACGTATTGTGCACAGCAATTTTCCTCTATAAATTAATAAGTGCAATATTAAAAGTAACGTAAAATAAGTAAGTATAAACTAATGTATAAAAGAAAAGCTTTTAAAGACATCATTTATAACTATCCATTAAAGAAATCAACATTTTATGGATCCGTAGACATATAATATGGTTAGATAGATAGTTTCTTGGCTAATATATACACCTTTTAGCCATGGAATTTGGCCCATTTGGTGTTGAATGGCAATGAAAGCATATATAAATATGTATACATAGATAAATTTCTATTGCTTACTATAAAATCTTAAAATAATTTAAAAATATAATGAATTAATGTTTCAAGCCTCGCCCTTGACCATGCTCCTGTTTTTGGTATTTATTTAGTATTAATCGGTTTGTTGCACAAATTAGGTGAATTCATTTTTTACCTTAAGTGTACATAGTTTTTAACAAAAAGAGGTAGATCTTATTTATTTTATCCACAATATCAATATTTTGAAGATTTTCTAAGGATGATTGAAGACACATAACATTTTACCACTAATTATCTAGAAAACTAAGCAGATTTAGACTTCAAGTTTTACATATCTGAAAAGAGGACATAAAAATATACAAATATCTTGAAAATATATGTATCTATGTATGTATGTATCTATGTATATTATAGCCTTATTAGCCATATATGTTTAGTTATTTTTATTCTTTTGTTTGGATATTAAAAATAAATAAATAAACTGAAATTACTGCAATTTTCAACTCCTCCATAATTTCTTTTTGTTTTAAAACTTTTTGTATGCACATCATTATATTTAAATACTTTGACATATTAGTAATCACGTAAATTAGTAAGTTCAGTATATTTAGAGACCAGTATTTAGAAACATGCATTTTTCATGATGTTTTACTGCATAACCCTCCCTACATCCTGGAACTCCTTACTCTACGTTCCTCTAACCACTCTCTCAATACCAGGTCTCAACCTATACATTTTCATATCTCCTCCCATAAAACTGCTTCCTTCAGCAAATCCTTTGTCATTCGTGCTACCTCCTTTTGGAGCTCTCTACCTAACTCCTTACATTAATTCTTGTCCACAAATTCCTTCATATTCAAACTTCTGCAATAATGTAAAATCTACTTGAGTCTGTATCTATTTCTATCTATCTGTATCTATTTTATTGCAAAAGCAATCAACAGTTAATTAGGTATCATTTTGTATTCATCTAAGCCCGACTCATGTTCTTAATTATGTAACTCTGTTATTATTCTGAGGGGACTGTAGTCCCAGAATAAAATTATTTTTTCAATTCATTTAGCTGCACATGTCAGTGTTTTTTACTGCATATTATATGGCATATTCCATGAAAATTCGGGCCTTGTTGATGAGTCAACATTCATTGTATTTTTTCTAGGCGAAGAAGAAGGTCTGTGGCTCCATGTTGACGCAGCATACGCCGGTACAGCGTTTATTTGTCCTGAATTCAGGCACTGGCTTAAGGGAGTGGAATATGCTTCATCAATTGCCTTTAATCCATCAAAATGGATGATGGTTCATTTTGACTGCACAACTATGTGGTAAGGAATCTTAGCCCAATTTCCATTCATCAAAAATTACTTGATACAATTTTTAAAAAATAAATAAAAAAAAAAAGATTCAGACTAAAACTTTTTCTAGGGTGAAAAACAGTGGATCTTTACACAGGACTTTCAATGTTGACCCACTTTATCTGCAGCACGAAAATTCAGGTATTTTCTGAATTTAATATGATATTTAATTGTAAAATATGGTTTGCATTTTTCAAATTGAGTTAAATTTTCATACAGGTCTTGCTATTGACTATATGGTAAGTTATATTTCATTATTTCGTTATTCCATTGTTATTTATTTTAACCAAGAATAAGATGGATCGACTTACAGACCATCTCCTTCTTGATTTATCATATGGTCGACCATCAACACATATGTTCTTTATTTTGATTTATTCTTACAAAAAGAGAAGAACATCAAATAACTAGAATATTTCCAATTTAATGAACCTATGGTTATGTTTTACAGCATTGGCAAATTCCATTGAGCAAACGATTCCGTGCATTAAAATTATGGTTTGTAATAAGAAAGTATGGAATAAAAGGACTTCAAAAACATATAAGAGAAGTAAATAACAGATTTCCTTAATAGGATAAAATTTGCGTTATATTAATTTAATTTATTTTTTACCAATTATAAATAGGGTGTGAGGCTTGCTGCAAAATTTGAAGCACTAGTATTGGCAGATAACCGTTTTGAAATACCCGCTAAGAGGCACCTGGGACTTGTGGTTTTCAGGTTGATCGGGGAAAACATTTTAACCGAAAGGCTCTTGAAAAGGTTGAATTCAAAAGGAAATCTTCACTGTGTACCAGCTTCACTCAAAGGTTAAATTCAAACAGTTTGATTTTATGTATTATTAAATAAACATTTGCTCTATTTATTTGTCTGTATAATTCATTTTAGCCTATGCTCTATTTATTTTTTCTTTTCTAGTAATGTTTATGTAAAATAATGAGTGGTAGGCCACATAAATTTTTAATAATAATTAATATAAAAAATTAGCCTATCAGGGGCTTTAAATTGTATAACTTCACGATTGACCCAAAAGGGAACTTTTTTGTTTCAGGAAAATATGTAATACGCTTCACTGTGACATCTCCAAGAACTACGGTGGACGACATAGTCAAGGACTGGATTGAAATAAAAAATACAGCGACAACCGTATTAGTGGAAAGTGAAGAAGCTAAACCTAGAGCTAAAGTTCCCCTTGGGGGTAAACTTATATCTTATCAAAATAACCTTCCTAAGTCTCTATTTGTTAAAAATATATTTTTGAAAAATTATGAGCAAAAATTTATGAAATAAAATGGATGTGGATTAGGAAATTTTAAGATTCTTGTTATTTATCAGCATTTCCAGGCCTAATATAGGAGCGGTCGCTGAGCAAATAGCCTATATTTAGGAGGATAATGCTTATATTGTTGATACAAATGCTAACTATCGAATATGAAAGTATGAAAAATGATCAATCCGGCACTCTGGGGATTGTAATAGTAATTAAATATTTTCAAAGAGCGAATACAAAATCTTCAAACAGTCATAAAAGCTCATATTGGTGTGGAAATCAAAATATACTCTCATCAGTGCTGCTTTAGATATTCAGTGTCCCTGGACCTCATCTCCCCTCTTCCCCTAAAAAAATTAAATTTATTTCTTAAGATGTTTTATATTAAGTAATATTTGAATTTGATTTCATTCAAAATTTCTCTAATACAATTACTTTATTGATAGGCTAAAATTAATCATTTTAAAAGTTTAGTGAATTTTTTTATTTCTTACAAGTGGTAGCGTTCCTAAGGAGCGGTGTTCCAGGGCAATTGCCCACCCTAAAGTCAGTATTGAATCCTCGTTATTTGGGTTGAATTGATAATGATATTAGAGTGGTGATTTTCAGATTCAATAGTTAGCATTTGTATCAAAAATATGTATAATAAGTTATATGAATAATAGCTATAATGGGGATAATAGGATAATTATATAATACATTGGGTAGATAATAATTTTTTCTTTTGGTCAAACTAAATGAAAATTTTAACATCGAATACTTAACATGCATTGCCCGGCAATCTGATAAACCGAAGAGATTATGAGCTTGAATCCCAGTACCGCTGGGGTGACTTTTAACTCAGGTATTAATTCCCCATCCTCTCCCCTGTCCCAAGAAAACCCCATACAGCTGAAAAGGCACGGAAGGGGAGAAAAAAAAAGTACTTTCAATAACTTTTTTACAAATAATATAAAACCCATCGCACATTAACGAATATTACTTTACATTTCCCATTGTAACTAATAGTTTCTCCATACTGATGAATTACTTTGGTGTTATACATTACTCTACAGTTTTGGTACATTTTGTAAACAAACACGAGTAACAGTTAAATAAGGTAGAAAACCTGTTGACCGTGATTATTGACCATGCCACTTAAACAAATTATTGAGTATAAATACTCGCTCAACGCACAATTTAATAATCTTTAAGTTCTTAAAGAGTACGTTTTTCGCTTTGATGCACCGCTTAGAAGTTATGGGTGAAAAAAACAGATGTTCAATGCCTCACAGTGTTTCATAGATCTCCAGTGTCTAACAGAGTTACACAGACGTCGTAAGGGATAGTATATGTTTAATAATATTTAGACATTATAACACCTAGTATATATTTACTTATAATTTTTATGTGAGTGATAATTTTATAAACACAATCAAATCAGAGATGTTTCAAGCAATATAATCAGTGTTAATACACATCAGCCATCTGTCATCTTTAATTTTATCAGCTGTATAAAGTACAGAGAACTACGGAAGCCTCTCACATCCCTTCAGTCACAAGCAACTTCTTATAGACAGGTAATCTGTCCATCATTGATTGATGTAATTCTGCCGTCTTGCTTTAAAATACTAACTTCTGTTTGATTCCCTGCTTGAGAAGTCAATAAATGTGAGATGTATCACTGTGATTAATATAGTTTAATTACTTTTCCACAACTAATTTTTAAAATTATGTTTGGTGGTGGCTAAGCCTTAACTTATAAAATAAAGTAATAGAAAACAGTATATTGGAAAAATATAAATTAATTTAAAAAGTCAAATATTAAGTGTTTATTAGAGTACTAATCAAACTAATTTATATACTATGAATAAAGATAAAGTAGGGGTCATTCCATGCAACATCATCCAGTACCCGTAACCCACCGCCCTCAGATCTTAGTGAAAATTTTTAAATATTAAGTAAATATATTGTAAGTAAAAATACCGAATTTCAGCCAATTCTAACAATTAGTTTCAGAATTATGGGCATTTAAACTTTTGAAATATTTTAAGTTGGGAAGACGTTCAGGGCTCCAGCCCTACAAGTAATGTAGTGGATGCAGTTATAATTAGGTTATGATAACACCTGAGCAGTTGTTAGTCCACACCTAAGAAAATATATTTAAGCACAGCTTGCATTAATTAGTCATTTCATTTTATCATATCTTATCTTTAAAGTCTCATAGATTGAATATAAACTATTAATATCTCCATAAGAACATTTAAAAAACATTATCTTTTACCAGGGTCATAACTTTATTTAATCTTTGTTCAAATAGCATAACTTTAAATATATCGATTCTCTACTTGTAATAACAATTTTATTGCTTTTTTTTGTAATACTGGATCATTCAGTGCCAAATCATACATGAAAAGTTCATTTTGTAACCACCCTCTTCAGATCTTAATGAAAATTTGTGAATATTAACTAAATATACTAGTAAATAAAAATACCAAATTACAGCCAATTCTAACAATTAGTTTCACAATTATGGGAATTTAAACTTTTGAAATATTTGAAGTTGGGAAGACATTTCGGGGCTCAAAACCAGCATGTATCTGTTTGGTTTTAATTTGTAAAACCAACATTTATTGACCAAGAGCTTTCAAAATTTATTCATTTGTCATAAATTTAATACAAAAGCTGCTGTTACTATAACTTTTAGTAAAATAATTTTTCTTCATTTATAACAAAATTCTTAAACATAAATTTTCAAGATTGTGATAAAAATATCTAAAACTACCTGCAGCTAAAATCTCTCTCCAAATACCCTAATACAACCATATATTAATGAAAACAGCATAAAATTCTCTACCAATTACAAAAATATGATTAGTGGGCTTTTGAGTTTTATTACACTTTAAACCCAACACAGTAAATTTTAATTTACCAGTTACAAATACAATTGAAAATTGCTTAAATCTATCTCCAAATATCCTAATATAACCATATAATACTAGTGAAATTTAGTATAATACTATAAATAAATATAATACTAGTGAAATTTAATACTTATGAAATTTAGTAACATAAAGATGAACTTTTATTTTTCTTGTGCCTAACAGAAACAAAAGAGAGAAATGAGCTGTTTGGATCTAGCTTACTTCTTGCAAACTCACCGATGTCACCCAAAATCGTCAACGCCAGCTTCGCCGCAGTCTATGATTCAGAAAGTTCTTATCCAGAATGGTTGAAAGGCTGGTCATTTTTGGCAAATATCTGCAAAGGAAGTCCAGGTGAGTTGCTTTTATATGTGTATTTTTTAAATATCTTTTATTATTTTTAACATATGAAACTTGAAAAATTGTCATATTTACATTTAAAACTATTTTATTAATTTGTATTTGATAAATGATAGTAAACTGAAAAATCCATCGCAACAGGATCTTCATTGATGGAAAATGGTTTCTAATTGTAGAAAGACTCAAATAACTCGGCTTCACAATATTCTCAATTAATGACCAATTATCTGAAATGGGCCAACATATAACAAGCACAAATTGTTAAATCATTCTCTCTTGCTTGGTTGGGACTACTGTAGATTATGGAGATGCTGAAAATAATATGTACGACATATATTATTGTATCATATTGGTAAAGCCAGTTCCGATATATGCCTGCGAAACCTTGGCTCAAACCATCAACCCAGAAAGAAGTATTGAAAGATTTGAGAGGAAAGTTCACTGCACAATAACCGGAATGAACTAAGATCAGTCTAATAATGAATGGAGGGAAGATACCAATGAAGAACAGCTTATAGTAACTGGTTAGTTAGTTCATAACTCATGCTAGGAGGTTGAGATAGAAAGGTGTATAGTATATGTTCAATCAATCCATCAGGAAGCTTCAATACAACAATATTTGGCAAGAGACCACGTGAAAGATAGAAAAACTAAATGTATAGCTCAAATAAATATAGATGCTAGATCTGCTGGTATCATTGGTTTACAATGGTATCAAAGTTTATTTTTCTTATGGCAAGCGCTGGAATACTACACTTCTTTCAATTGAGCTATAAAAAAAAAAAAAGATCTGCAGAACACTAGGAAATGATGCTAGAGCTGCAAGCAGAAACTGGAAAACAATAGCCTAATATAGGGAGATATAGAGAAGGCTGGTTGTAGTGAGCAAAGGTCTACGTCTCTAAAGCCAACAGAGAAAGCAAAATTGTGTGTTTGCTCAGACTCTGTGAGTGCCCTTAAAGCCTTGTTAAAAATGTTTTTTGAGGAATCTTGTTAAACACAAGCCTTTGTTCTGAATTTCTAGCCATTCCAGAGTTAGGATAAGAAAACAGGAGCATGTTTAGCTAGACAGAGCTTCAAAATTGAACTCAATGATTTGAAAAACATAAGTACGACAATGAGAATCAAATAACTCCTTATTTTTTTAGTTGAAAGTGAAGATTTAATCATTTATCAAAATATGTGAGGCCCTGATGTGTTGTAGCTAGCAGGTGTTTGGCTGCCTCTTCTTTGTTTAACAAATACTATAAATAAAACAGTGGTAGGGAATGTGTACTATTAATTTTTTTTTTTTTTATTACATTTCTAAAGTCTTTTGTTTTAAGCCTGATATTTTTAAGCCCACTGCAATATCCAGTATAACCTAAATTTTTTTCTTCTTAAAGTTCTGACCAAACTCATTTACAATTGTATCAAAGTTAATTTTTCTTATGGCAAGCGGTGGAACACTACACTTCTTTCAATTGAGTTATAAATTGTAAAATTACACATGTATTTATGAAAAACAAATTATTACCATGCCTTAAAATAACTTTTTGTCCTTTCAAGTTTTTGTTCTTTCTTTTTCACATAACAAGTTTCTCGTCTCTTAAGAACTGGCACACTGTGCAAATTTTCAGCCTACCCTTTTGTAAATTAAGGCATGCACCTTGTAAAACATCATGACTAACAAAATTAAAACTTTTACGATACTAAAAGTTTGTTGACAAACATCAGATTGACAGATCCTTGTATAGACACTCTTTTATGAATACTTTATCACAATTAAAAACAAAATGAAACTAAAAAAAAATCTTTTACAGTAAGGCGGAGAATGATGCAGGGGAAGCAGTTATCTCTCGATTCTCGCCTGGATTTGGTACAGTACTGTGTTGGTTTAACAAAGTCTGTAGCGCTTCCACCCTGTTCAGAAAACAGGACTACATCAGAACCATCTCCACAAGAGATGAATGAAAATGAAAATGGTTAGTATCAGTTTGTCTTTTTTTTTTTTTAAATTAATCACTAAAAGCTTATTTTATTAATTATTATACATCATCAATTCGACTAAGGTGTAATAACAATTCGTTTGTACAGTTTTGTAAGACAGATTAATATTATTGTTAATAACTTATTTTTATATGATAAAAATATCTTTTTTCATTAATTTTATTTATATTTTGATTGAAATTGGACTTATTTTATCGATATGCAATTAAGTATAAACAGAGAAGAATTACTTAAGACAATGATAAAATTGAGGATTCCCGAAAAATTGGTCACTTTGACAAAAATGATCCTAATTGGTAGTGGTGGACCTATAGTGAATATGGATGAGAGATGAGCTCGGACAAGATGATATTTTATCCCCTACTCTATTTAATATTAATTTTCAGTATGCAATAAGGGCACATCCAGGTGGCACTGTTTATAACAGGATCTGGCCTATGCTGATGATGTAATAATAACAACAAGAAATAAAACAGCATCAGCTGGGGTACTAGAGGAATTTGAAACAGCAGAAAAAACTAGGGATATAAATAAATGAACAGAAGATTCTTTACATGCAAACTTCAAGAAAAACAAGCGAAACAGATGAATGTGTACCAATAAGAAATCACAATCTGAAAGCATTAAAAACCTTCGAGTATTTGGGTGCTAATTACAAAAAGTAATGAAATGGTTAAAGAACTGAAAGCAAGGATGTCTACCAAAAATAAATACTATTTTGCCCTGTAAAAGATAATAAATTTAAGATCTCTTCTTCTTAGAAAAAGAACACAGTGTATGATAAATACATAAGACACATTGTCACTTGTGGTTCTGAGACTTGGATGATTCCTAAAGATTCAGCAAGGAGGCTACATGCATATTATAACCTACATGGGGAAGGAATGTTCTCAGGAGGATCTATGGTTCGGAGTGTGAACATGGGTAGAGGAGAATTTCCACCAATAAAGAACTGTGTGAGGTGTAACCAAATCAGATGATTGGATCATATCATGTGGCGTGTATGACTAGAGACGCAATTTTCAAACACTTGCTGGAGGATTGATCTTTTGCAAGACATGGCAGGGGAAGATCATGCCTGAGATAGCTGGACGAAATGGAGAACATCTTGAAAAAGATGGGAATCGGAAGATGGGAAATGCTCATTCAGGATAGAGGAGGAAGATTATAATCAGAGACCCAGGTGCTTGCAGGACCACAGCGTCAAAAATGAATAATGTAGTAGACATCCCCCCGTATTTACTCCTTTAGACAACATTGTGTGAGGGAATGAGAAGGAATATATAATATATAGGAATGTGAGGTTGCACTGTGAATTGTACTCATTTGTGCAGTGGACAAATTGCTCATTGGAAAATCTCTTATCGATAAACAATCGATGAGTAGGGATGCTGGAAAAAGGTCAGAGCAGGTAGCTGGGAACAGATGGCGAAGAGGAAGCCAATCACTTGAGGCCTGGACAGGAACACGAGAAGACGTCATCTGGGAAGAGAGCCTTACTACATTGAAGACTAAGAAATCAAGCCTACAGTTATTAGACTTTAATATATTCACTTATATCAGTAGGTTATTTACAATAAATTAATTAATGCTCTGTGAATTGATATCTTAGTCCTAGTAGTTGGAACAATAAAGGTTTAGTCATAAGGTTTACCATTCTTCCTTGGATGGAACCAATCATTTTCAATAATTTCAACTCTTATTATCTAATTTAGGTTAAACCTTTATTTGGGTTTAATTTTTGAAGTTATTAGCAGAAATTGAACTATTGTTCAACTTCAATTAACTTAAAATTTTGTTTGTTAAATGTAACTGCGTTATGTTACAGAAACGTTTGTTTGAAATGAAATGAAAAATAATCTCATTATCCTGGGACTGGTGTCCCTTTACAACAAATTATAAATAAAAATTAAATAAAACATGACAGTGTGGCCATTTATTAAATTAAATATCTACATAATTATAGGTGATAATTGAAAATAAAAATACAAAAGAGGGAAAAAATAAATAAACAAAATAATTTCTGTGGGTAATTCAAGAGTACTCTGCAGTGAATTTGGTTATCATTCTGATTAGGAATAGAATAAGTATTTAAGAAGGAGATGATTTAAAGAGATAGAATTCTAGAATTTAATTATTTTAAGCAGGGTTAAGAATTATCTAATTTCAAATCTAAGATTGTTTATATCTTCTCTAAGCTCATAAACATGTCATTACTAGAGGTGGGAGAGAAAACGTCAAACATTTGAAAAGAACAGTTCTTGATTTCAAACGAATGAACTGATCTTCCAAACGAATAACAATAGTTGTTTTTCTTTAGTTCACCCGTTTTGCCACTAGTCGAGTTGCTGTTTGATCTGTTTTTAGTCATCGTGTTTTTCCAAACGAAACAAAAGCTCTTTCTACTTTCCAATAAACCTATCAGTTCATCATGAAAATAAGCCAACATTTTTTTTATAAGACATGTTTCAAATGTTAACTTTAGGGATGTAATTTTTAGCTCCCATTATTAATGAATGCTGGCTATAAATCAATAAAAACTTTCATTATAGTTACTACATTACTAAATTAAATTAAGCATATTTGTAGGCAAAATTAGTTTATGTTTTAGATGTATCTATATATATTAGTGTCTTGCAAACCGAAATTAATTTTTATGATTGAACATATTCACATAAATCAATTTAATTGCATAAATAAAAGTAAACACTATTATGTTATATAAAAATTGAAAAATGCAAACAATTGAAGAATTGTTTGAACTACAGGTAAAAGACTTATGATGACCAAGCAGCATAATTTCAAACTTCGAACATAGAAGTCAAACTATTAATAAAGTCAAACTATTAATAAAATAACAAATGTTATATGTGTAAAAAATAATTTTTAGTTTTAATTAGTTAAAAAGAAATTTTCAAGATTAAACATTCATGTAATATTACAAATAAATTCAAAGGTTATCAATTTCAAACTTGAACAATGCCAAACTTCATACATAAAACGGTTCAATCATTTCCAAACTTGTTATTAAAGGGATAGGTATTACTCCATGAATCATTGTGTTGTTCTATGAACTATTTTTTTCAACAGTTCTTAAGAAAATTTCAATCCTTTTTCTGATGATTCTTGAACAAAAATTTTACTTAATTACTTCTAAACATGTAAGTTATATTTTTCTATTAATTTTTTTTTCAGATGAAGATTCTCTATGTGACTCCAATGGAGGAAGATCTTGCAGATCCCAATCAGTTGGAGCCTCAGATGTGTTTGATTTAAATTGTGAAAAAAATCCATCTGATGTATCAAAAGTTTGCTTGAAGTGTGGTCATTTCTATGAAATAGATAACTAAAATAACAAAAATGAAAAAACAAAGAAAACTCTAATTAAACATTAACAATGGTTTTTCAAATAATTAATGCAAAGTACAGTGAAAAGATAATTTTTCGTTTCCTGTAAATTCGTAAAATTCCAGTTTATTGAAAGAACTAAATAACTGGAAAATTTGTGAAGAAAGGCTTTATTGGTAACTTTCAATAAATCCTAAACAAGAAGAATATCTAGAGTATAAGGTGTGTAAAACAGTTAAATTAATGTTAAAATTTCAAATTGTTAAAAAAAAAAGTTGACTCCTAGTTCCGGCATTTGAAAATAAAACAAGATTACTTCAAACAATTTTATCAAAAAAATTAAATTTTATATTATCAATTTCTAAATTTATGTCACCAAATATTGCAAACAAATATTAATTCTATAATCAAAATGTTATTAAAAAAATTGATTCCTAAACCAAATTGACATCCATTTAACTTTTACATATTTGTCTTTAAATCATGTATGTGTGTGTGCTTTTTAAAAGAGTGATATAGAAATTTTAAAACGATTCTTATAAAAGAATTAGTATAAAAAATTAAAAATATATGCAAAGCTTCAAGATTTTAATACTTGTTACTAAGGATAAATATCAAAATATAATGATCAAGTGTGATAAATTTGAGAGTTCCATTTTACATTTAAATAAAATATTAAATTCATTGTATCAACAATTTTTAATGGTCTTGTTAAACTTGAATGTATCGAACCTGTTGTGTTGACAATAACCGAATGTATATATTAACAATAAATACATTTTTAAGTGTGGTATGACAATTCTTTTCTACATATTTGATCCTAATCAATATTTAAATTAGCGATATGGTCATTTTGCAATGTTGTCCCATGACTAATGATTTTTAGCAATCTTACTTCAGGCTTAGGTGCCATTTAAAAACTGGTTCTGTGAGGATTGACTTTTTGTGCTGGTGTAAATGAAGAAGAGAAGGAACAAGACATCAAAGTGACATTCATACTCAATCCTGTGAATCGATAAAACAGGTCATCCAACTTGTGTGGCTGTTACTTGAAATATTAATAGACTGGATTTTAATGTCAATAATGTGTTACAACAAAACCTAAATAACTCCCGATGTTGTAATGTTAAATTTATTACTGATATCTACACATCACAAGTTAATGAGATAACAAGATTTTGGTTTCATCAAAGTGATAAAAGTTCAATAAGACTTCTGATAACTGTTAGATTAAACAACTGTTGCTATCATGTAAAATGGAGATTGAAAAATGTTGTTATTCTTCCGATATAGAAATTTAAAAATGGCAATAGTCAAACTTATTTAATAATTGTTAATTACGTATAAACTTCTATTAAAGTTTATACGTAATCAACAATTATTAAATAAGTTTTACTTCATATTTCTACATTACTCACCAATAATAAGAACATAGAATGAAAATTAATTGTTATCTAAAATTATCGGTGTGATAGTCAAACTTTAAAATATACTAACCATTGTCCTTTGTGCCAGTGAGTTTTTGGTAATAGTTATTAATGGAAGACATGGGCATCCTGCTGTCTCAATTAATTTGGGGGCCGAGACCTAAATAAGCAGTGAAACTTTTATCGACGAACACTTCTCTATAGCGGATGACTTTTACAAACTCCTACAATTTTTAAATAGTTTTACAGTAATAAGGTCTTCCGCAAAATGGATACTCTCTATAGAAGACATGAACGGGCTTGATGCATGTATTGAGATAAGATTCTCCATAACAAGGAAGGGGGAAACCAGTAAAGCTCATATCATGAGAATATTCGGGAAGGGGGGAGGGGAAAGAGCTTTTGTGTTGAAGCCCCCACCTTTCTTCCAAATGGTAAAATATAAAAAAAAATATTTATTATGAAAAAAATATTTAAAAATTACCTCTAAAAGTATTATTGTTCTTGAAATTACATTTAATAGTACATAAAGAATCACTTAAACACTATTTCATATAGGTATTTAGTTTTCTATTTTTTTTCCTAAGTAATTATCGTTATATATTTTTTAAAAAATCTTTCAGTCTGAAGCCCACCCACTCTACAAAACTAAATCCTGGATCCCCTAGTGGCTCAAATCAAAATTCTAAAAACATATTAAAGAAATAAAAACATTTGAAAAGTTCAGGCGATATCATCAAGATCAAGTAAATCAAATCAGTGACAATTAATCTACACAATTGACTAAAACATGTAAACTAAAATTTATCAAGGAAATAGGAATAGTCAACTAGATGGCTAAGCTGAGATCTAGAAGTAGATACAAAAATATTTTAGAATGTTATTATTATTGTAATTTTAATTTATATTGAAAGATAATTATATTTATTATATTATATATACTAGAATTTTATGATTCATTCACCCGAGAATTGTGAGTTCATCACACTGCCCCAAGCCTTTAAATAAAAGTAAAAATTTGGTGCAGTGCATCACACAACTTTCACTTACCACCCTACTTTCAGTAAAAATAGGTCTTTTCATAATTTGCTGTTTTAGGCTCAAAACATCCAAGTCATTAGCGCCCGAAATAAAGTAATACTATTATTAAGATATCTAGCTCAAAGGAACTGAAAGTAAAAATCATAGAAGGTACAGCATATTATTTAAAACAATTAATTGATTTTTTCGTGTAATATATTAAATTTATGCTTTTTTTTATCAGTAACCATTTCCTTTTCGACTGTATATTGAAGGAGTAGCATACATGGATATAGGAATGGCTATTAATAATAAGAGTTATAAATAATTATATTTTAATTTTATTAATTAAAATATATTATATTTTATATTATTTTGCCATTTTATGGTGAAGCCACATCCGAATCCAGTCAATAACTGAATTTTCAGATTCAGCACCCCAAAAAACATTTAGATCCATCAAGAAATATTCTTCAGTGATTTTTTCATGTCCAAACTATCAAATGACTGTAATGTATGCATATGACACACTGGGTGACTGTGACTCCTCACCTCCAAGGGGTGGGGACTTTTAGTATGTTAATCTGGTAATTAGGAAAAGCAAAGTCACTAAGTCAATATTTTTACCTGGTATGTAGACAAAGCTATCTTCGGGCTGAAGCTCTCTCCCACTTCCCCAAAAAATTGTAAAATGTAACCATATTTTGGAGAAAAAAGTTATCTCTTAAAATATAATTATTTGTTTAATTACATTTAATAGAACTTCAACAATCACTTAAACACCATTTTATATAAATAGTTATTATCTTTCTTACTTTTTTCAAATTAGTTATCGTTATATGTATGAAGAAAAAAATAAAAGCCTTTCGGCTGAAGCCTCTCAAAATTAAATCCTGGATCCGGTAGTGGAACTAAAAAACATAAAATTACAAGATGGAACCAATTTCAAGTTCAGTAATAACTGAAACACAATATGTCAGAACACTAGCGGATCCAGGATTTAATTTTTTTTGGGGAGAGCTTCAGCCCATAATATTTTTTTTCATATATTTAACAATAATTAATTTGAGAAAAAAAAGAGAAAGAAATGAACTACCTATATGAAACGGTGTTTAAGTTATTCTTAAAATCCTATTAAATACAATTACACGAACAATAATACTTTTACTATTTTTTTCTATGGTTATATTTTATGATGAAAAATCCAAGTTTTCAACCTCAGCACATTGTCTTTTTTATATGTAGTTACAAGGAACACAATGATGTGAAATTTATAGTGATGTGGAGGGAATGTTCATGGAAGGGGGGTCTGGTGGACAGACTACCCTCTTTCCCTCCACTACCCTCGATCACCCCTCCTTCAAAATATTAAACTGAATAAATATTAATTTCACTGACTCATAGCAGACAGGTTATTGGATATTAAAAACAATTGTGTATGAGCAAACATGAAAAATAATTTAAATGGAAATTAAAATTTCCTAAAATTTTAAAATCTATATCCCATAAACTATTCAACTAACTGATCCTGTTCTGTAGTTAAATTGTAGCATATTTAATCTTGTTTAAAAATGCATAGAGTATTTTTTGTCGAAAACGTTCTCCTTCATGGATAAAATCTGAAAAAAGTGCGAACATATAGCAGTTTTTTGGATATTCAAAAGTTATCCAAGGGCGAAAACTTGGATTTTGCATCTTGGTCATATTCCACACAAGAAAATATAAAGATACCTTCTACCTCCAACTTAAGATGTACAAGATCAATGGGCTAGGTCGGTGATCCATGATTTATTTTGGGGAAGTATTGGATTTTTTTATTTTTAATAACAGCGTTTATTTGGAAAGAAACCGTACAAAATGAAATATAAGAGGTCCTTGAAATCCTCTTAAAAAAATAAAATAAAAACGTTTACAGAAAAAAAATTTTAGCGATCAATTTTTTGTATATTTTTTCTAGACAGAATGCTTACAATTAGTAGCTGAATACATCACTATAATTTACAACCATGCCATATTGTGACTGTGTAAGTATTTATCTCAGGTTAATGACTGGAAGAAATATGAAAAAAACATATTTTTACATTTTGGAGTGCTGTTTTTTTTTAATGTGCTATTCAATTCGAAACTTGTTCGATTATATTGGTATTATAATAGCTTTATTAATCATATAAAAAAAAATAAATAAAACGTCTTTAGTTCTCAGGAGTTATATATGATAACAGTAAATATGATCGTTACCCCCTAAGGCCAATGGCGCATAAATCTTTCCCCACCCCTCCCAACATATTTTATTCCTCTCGTGTTCTTAAAAACGGCGCCAACGAAAGTAGAATTTAAATATTCGTAGATTATATACAATTACACCTCCTGCGGTCTGTTCCGTGCTCCCACTTGTCTTTTAAATTAAAACTTTTCATTTTGAAAATTCATAACCCCATCGAAATGTGCCCCCCTCGAAAATTGAAAACCCCGTCAAAAAGTGACCCCCTCATAAATTTTGATGGCGCTCAATTTCATGTGCTATGAAACCCCCTTCTGGGCAACCCTGCTTATTT